CTAAGGAGGTCAAATACCCGATATTTAGATTACCATTCATAACAGTAGAAAAATTAAAGGTATGAAGTAGTAATGAAAATAATCTTATGGCTGGGGTCACCACAATATGGGGAACTGTATTAGACGGTCACAACTCTAGGAAGGGTGAGACCCATCGCTCTAGACAACATTATACAACAAAGTTGAAATCACAGATAAATCATACTTATAAATGTTTTTTCTTAATGGATGAAGTGGACTTAAGGGTGGGTTGGCAGTGGGGACACAAAAGTAAGCAGATATCAAGAAGAATTTCTTCTGTGATTTGCTAAGCTGTATGTGTACCATCTTGACAGAAGTAATTCCTTCACAAGGATTTCCTAATCACAAAGTCTTTCTTTATCTGAAGATCTAAGAGCTTTCCCCAGGGCAGCAGCCTTAGAGATATGGGGTCTCACATGCCACTGGCTTAGTTTGCTACAAATCATATAATGGTATTATCATGGGAGAAGTCAGCACTTCATGTTTTCTAGTAACAATAAGTTAATCACATAGTTAGCCAAATGGAAATATTTACATAGGTTTGGCCCTAATTACATCCATGTCTCAGAATTAACCATATGACCTCAGACCTTCTCTGGGTCTTGATTTCTATACTTGTAAAAATGTAGTCAGACAAAAGTTGTTTCCGAATCTAAAATATTATGATTCAATTTTTACCACTAGTATTTCTTTATCACCAGCATAGGAGGTTTTTTTATACCCCTGTCTGCTAAGCTACTAAGGCCTAAAGACTTTTAGTGCAATGAACTTATGAAATCGTTCCAAATCTATTATAATGATTGAGGAAATTTAAGAGATGTATTTGCATTTTTTCTACCCTGCCTTTTCTGTGCCATCCTTATTCTCCCCTACTCAAGACAGTTATTAAAGATAAAAATTTTCACAATGAGATTTCTATCAGACTTGAGAAAGCAAGTAGTCTAGTTACTTTTTGATCTCTTCAGTTATTGAGATAATGGTTTTATTTTTGAAACTATAATCAGATAAAAATGTCCAAAGGACTAAAGAAACTGAGTTGGGCAATTAGTCTACTCTTTTTCGTATTATAATTCCACAGAAAGGAACAATAGGCTCTTCTTGCTTTTGGCACTATAATAATTCAGTTGACATGCTAGAAATATCATACACTAAGCCAAAAAACGGTGGCCTTCTCCTGCTTTAAAAACAATCAATGCTTTCAATTATGGACTTCAAAGTACATGTGAATGAAAGTCTCAACCCCATGAGTCTGAGGTAAACCAAAGGGATTCAGGTGTCACAGAAAAGTTCCCCAGTTTGTTGCTCTTTTTTTTTTCTAGATAAGAAAGGAAATAAAAACACTCCCAGGCAGATGGGTGTTTTCATCTAATTTTGTATTTTCCTTTTCAAGTGAGCTTGAGCAACTTCTTTGATAACTCATTGCAAAACAGTGTTTCTCTATACCTGACCAAACCTCTTTCTTGCTGCTTTGCAGGCTCACTCCCTCGAATTATTATAGAGTTGGCATTGGTGGAAATGTTTACTGTCTTTACATTGATGATCCTTGCTTTGACTGTCAAAAATTGTACAATAAGTTATTGTGATGGCTGATTGTGGTTGCCAACTTGACATACTGGCAAGAGGGAACCACACTGGAAGAACTGCCTTCATCAGACTGGCCTGTGGGCATATCTGTGAGGGCATAGAAAGGCCCAGCCCACTGTGTGTAGCACCATGCCTAGGCAAGTGGCATTGGGCTACATAAGAATGGGAGGTGAAAGTGAGCCTGGGAGCAAGCCAGTAATGAATGCTCTTCCCTGATTTCTGCTCCAGTTCCAACCTCCATGTTTCTACTTGAGTTTCTGCCCTAACTTCCCTCAATGATTAAGTATGACATGGAAGTGCAAGTCAAACAAACCTTTTCTTCCCACAAGTTGCTTTTGGTTATGGGGTTTATCACAACAAAATAGAATAGTTAGGATATCTATGGTGAGGATTACATACATTGTTGGGGTCCTCATCTTTTTAAGCATAATTGTTAATCGAGTCTTTGGGAAATTCACATCATGAACTCTAATCCTGCACATTTCCCAGTGCAGGTCATGAACCCATCTGGAGTAAGGCTCCCAACATGGCAGAGACAGGTCTCCCAGAGCCAGGGAAGGGCAGTGACAGCTGAGCATGGCCCTCAGATTTCAATACGCATAGTTCCCAAGGTCCCCTGTGATAACATAGGGCCGTACCACCCCAATGCCCAGTCTCTCTGATCTCAGAAGCTAAGCTGGGTTGGGCCTGGTTAGTACTCGGATGTGGGTGGGGGTCATTATCTTAATGAAACATTCCTAGTGATGCTAGTATATGATGGTCAAAGTTGGTTTTCCTCTCTGGTTATTATTATCTCATCTGATAAACTAATCAATATGAAAATCCTTTAAGAGAGTCGCCACACTGATATGGATATCTCTGGAGGCACGATAATGATTCTCGGGACTAGGTTCAAATATTAAATATAATTTATTTCAGGGAGAAGGCACTTACACAAGAAGCAGATGGCCACCACAGGTTCCTGCTCTAAGGATCCACACAGGCTGCTCCCTGTGACCCGACCGGATGCAAGGGAGAGCCAACTGCCAGGACCCCAGACCTAAACTCACTCCCAGTCATGTCCTCACCTGTAACCACGTCCAAACAGGCGTGGTCAGCGATACAGGTACGGGCAGGGTAGATATCTCACTGCAGATATCTGAGAAACTGAAGTATTTTTCTGAAGGAACTGACTCCTGGGATTCAATCATTATTACAAGTGGAAAATGGGTGGAGATCTCTCTTTTTATACGGAGTGATTCATTACTCACCTTAATTTTGGCAATACCACTTACTTTTGTTTGTTTCTTGCAATACTCAAAACCAAACCTGAGACCTTACACATGATAGGCAGATACACTACTACAAATCAATGCCCCTCAGCTAGGCATCAGATTTATAAATGCAAGCATGCCTTTCAATACAGGCCTACAGATAAAAGACAGTGGAAATAGGACCCTATCAATGACTGGATATTCACTAGGATATCCTAATTATTTCTAGTTAATTGTCTACTTGCCTAGTCCTACAGAATGTTGACACTTTCTTTGAATCCTAGTGAATGATGTTGTAATCCATTCCATTTTAGTCATTATTCAGTCTGCCGTATTGATTCATGGGTTCTTCCACTTTAGTGTTTGGTTTCTGTCCTTCTGAAAATCCATATGGTTTTCAAATCTGGCAACAGTGTCATCTTATAGAAAGGAACTAGGAATTTTAATTTCCCATGGTTTAACAGACTCATTTGACATAGAGTAGCATTTCAAAGAAATTACTTCACTGTTATCTTAGCAATTTATGTAACTGGAGCATGACCAAGGAAATATTTCTACAGGTATAAACCTGTAATGTAAGAGCAAGCACAGTCTGAAGAAGTTTGAAGTCACTTTAAGATAAAAGCTACAAGGAAGTCAAGATACTTAAGATTTTATGATCAAATATGGCAAAAATACTGAATTACAATTGCTAATCTACTTCATTGACACTGGTGGCAAACACTGAAACTCCACCCATTAAGTTTCTCTTGGGCATGTAAGACATTCACCTGGTAACGAGACAATGAGTCCATTAGGGGCAGATATTCTTTTCACAAGATCTTTATGGCTGCTTGAGAAGTGTGCTCTCTGAAGGAACTGAATTTGACCTTTAGGGACAAATGAGGCTATAGTAAGTGAAGGAAAGTTGTGGGTAAGGCTGTGCCTGTGAAGGGCAGCTCATTAGATTGGCTGAAATAGATTTTTGGACAGCAGCAGGAAAGAAAATGTAGAGTTATAATCATCTCAGAATTTGAAGAGATCACTTGAAATGATGAAATTCAAGCTCTGCTCATCTTATTCTATACTATTTACTTTCAAATACAGCTTTCCCTAGTCTGCCACCAATGTTTAATATATGCTTTAGTAATGAGACTGAGTTCCTATTATTGACAGACATAGTAACTACAGTATAGTAGTTAGATATAGGGTTTGGAGTTAGAGCCCTCAATAAGCAAGCACTTGGTGCATGTTCAGCCTTGGGTAAGTTTGCTTAACCTTTATTTCTTTTCTATAAATATGTACAATAATATACTCAAGATGAAGGAAGAAAAAAAGGTGGATTTCTTAGCAAATGGGAACTAAGGAACATACAATGAGAGACAATTCAAGGAAGGTGTTTTTTCATTACATCAAATTAAATAATAGATTAAGTTGGTTACAATTTGCCTGAAGGGTTTCCTCTAAGTCAAGCAAAAGCAGTGAGGGCAAAGGGGAAGAGGCTGGCCCCAGCTTTTGCTGTCATGAAGCAAAATGCCAAACTGGCAGTAAATCCTCTGTCTGAGTAAAGGCCAGTGAACTTCGGCACTGGACATTACATCCAGCCCCAAAGGGACCTCACCTGATTTGTCAAATACCAGGTTCCCTATTCCCATCTTCTTGTGATTAACCAGTTCACTAAGGCCTTGTTGAAGCTTGCCTACAAGAGGAAGCCAGAGACAAAGCAGGAGAAAAGTAGAGGCTGTTAACATGGGCTGGGGGGAAAAGCTTCTGGAAAAGGGGTCCCCCTCACTGAGAGACCTCCTGCCCTTCAAGCAGGGGTCTCTAATGTCACTATCTTGGTGGAGTTCCATGAGCTGGTGTTCTTCCTTGTATCACAAAATGAAGGTACCCTGCTGCATCATCAAGGGGAAGGCAGGCTGGGATGGCTGGTTCTGAGGAAGACATGCATCACTGTTGCCTTCATGTATGTTAATTTAGAAGACAAAGGCGCTCTGGCTAAGCTGGAAGAAGCTATAAGTACAAATGATTATGACAGATAAGATGAGATTCACTGTCACTGGGGAGCCACCATCCTGGATCTCAAAACTGTGGCTCACAATGCCAAATGGAAAAACAAAAAAGCAAATGAACTTGCCACCAAATGGGGCTAAACGTACATACCTGAGTTTTCTGCACACAAATATATTAAGAAATGTCCTTCAAAAACTTCCTGAAGTATATCAGCTTCAAAAATGTTGAGGTTGTTTCCGTCCATTTTGTATCGTAATGACAAAATATTCAATGCCGGGTACTCTGTCAAAATGTTTATTTGGTTTGTAATTCTGGTGATTGGAAAGTCCAAACTCTACTGTGCCTCCATCAGACTATATCATTACATTTCAGAGAGGCAGAAAATGAATCTGCCAAATACCGCCCCGGGATCTGAAGGCAGACTGATTCGGTCCCTAAGTACCCTGGGATCCTGACTCTGCTGGATCACTGGGCCATTCTGGCCCCCACAGAGTGCAGAGAGTGCAGAGGTGAGCTGTACTGCTTGGGCCCAACTTCTGCTGCCCACCCTGGCAACTCCCACCCCGGGATCTGCAGGCAAATTGAATCAGTCCCTGAGAGGCCTGGGATCCTGACTCTGCTGAGATCGCTGGGCTATTCTGGCCCCACAGAGTGCAGTGAGTCCAGAGGTGAGCTGATTCGGCCCCTAACTTGGGCCCAACTTCTGCCTGCCCGCCCTGGCAAACCCTGCCCAGGGATCTTCGACAGGACAACTCAACCCCTGAGGACCAAGCAACCCAGAGTCTGCTGACATCTCTGTGCCAGTACTGCTCTCACCCACATGGAGAGTGAGTGCCTCAGACCTGCCTGCACCCAACTTGAAACCCATCAGAGTATCAAAGTCAATTGCACACACCTGAAGAGAACACCGGACCCATACACACCAGAAAAGGAAGTGACACCAACTGTACCCACTGGAACAAGAGATGGGAAGACGACAATATAAGAACAGATCCAACAACAGGAAAACCAATATGACACCATCAGAGTCTAGGGACTCTACTCCAGCAAGACATGAACATCCCAACGCAGAAGAAGCAGAAGAAAGCAACCTTCAAAACAATTTCATGCAGATGATAGAGAACCTAAGAGAGGAAATCAGAAA